AGAAAAAGATACTGAAAGATAGAAAGATCACCTGTGCTTATGGACTGGCAGAATTAATATTGTTAAATTGACCATATCATCAAAAGCAATCTACAGACTCAATGCAGTCCCCATCAAAATTCCAACAGCATTCTTCCCAGAGGTATAGAAAAATAAAATAAAATCCTATCCCAGCACTTGGGAGGCTGAGGCAGGAGGATCGTTGCAAGTTTGAGACCATCCTGGGCTACAGAGTGAGCTCAAGGCCAGCCTGAACTGCATTGTGAGACCCTGTATCAAAAAGACAAAAAAAAAAAAATTCTAAAATTCATATGGAAACAAAAAAGACCCAGAATAGCCAAGCAATCATGAACAAAAAGAGTAATGCTGGGCCAGGCATGGTACCTCAGGAGGCAGGAGGATCATTGGGAGTCCAGGGTCATAGGGAATTCAAGGCCAGCCTGGACCATACAGTGAGACCCTGTCTCAAAAAAGGAGGTGGGTGGTGGGAGGAAGTTAAATGTACTATGTGAGGCCCTGGGTTCCCCCCCCAGCACCATAAAAAGAAAAAAAAGTTAAACATAAATGTACCTATGCCTTAGCAATTCCATGCCTGTCCACCTACCCACGAGATAGCAAACACGGCCACACGTGCTCACAGCAGAACTGTCCACAACAGCCAAAGGGCAGGAAGTGTTTTCACCATCTGTCACACACCGGAGAAGGAGAAACAAGATACAGCCGTCCACCCAGATGATGAAATACTATTTAGTCATGAAAAGGAAATGCCGCATGCATCTCAAAAACAGTATCCAGAAAAGACAAGTGGGTAGAGACCAGAGGCTGCTTTGTGATTGCCGGGACTCGACCCAGGTAACTGGAATAATGTAAATGCTGGGGACTGTGGAGACTCCCTAAACTCAGACACGGGGAGGATTGCACAACTATAAATTTGCTGAAAGCACTGAGCAACGCGCTTGAAGCGAGCTCACCGATCCAGCTTGTGCCTCAGTAAATCTGCTCAGACAGCTGATTGTCCCCTGGCTCCCGAGGAGTCTCAGGAGCCTCAGGGCAGGAGTGTCTCATCCTGTTTACCTGGCGTCCTCGGCACCCAGGACAGTTTAAGACCCACAGCAGGTGCTGGCAAATGCAGTGAAGGAATGGAACCCGCTTAGGAGATCCAACAGCTGCCAACTGTGCCGGCACACACCTGCGATCCCAGAAATCTGAGAGGCTGAGAGGCTGAGGCAGGAGGATGGCAAAACTGCCATCCTACCCGGGGAAGTTTAGTGACTTCACCACACTGTCCTGATTCTCACCAGCACGGGATGCAGGCAACTCTCAGGTGATCCGGTAGCTTCTGTAAAGCAAGATAAATTCTTTCTTTTTTCTTTTTTTTGAGACAGAGTCTTGCTATGTAGTTCAGGCTGGCCTTGAGCTCACTTTGTAGCCCAGGCTGGTCTCGAACTCACAAGAATCCTGCTGCCTCAGCCTCCCAAGTGCTGGGATTACAGGCGTGTACCACCACACCCAGCTAAAGCAGGGTAATTTCATAACCGTGAGTACTGAGAGCTCTCCGACTCACTCCAGGAAACTGTGTAGTAATTGTTGCTTTCAAAGCTCCAACCCTTTTCACATGTCCACCCCCTGCTGGGCAGCTGATACTCGTTCTGACACTGGGCTCATATCCCCAGCCCCTCCCCACCCTCCATCCAAGAACATTGATCGTGTCACTCTACTCCTCAAGAACATTCAGTGGCTCCCTAGTACCTTTAGAACTGCTCCAAATTCTTCAGTCAAGAACCCCAAACACTTTATAATCTAGCTCTAGAATTCTCCCCAACCATTCCCTGACCCCCATGCAGCTCCCACGCATCCTTTATGACGCCACTAATGAGCTCCAAGGACCTTCTGCATCCAGAAGGCGTTGCAGGGCCCTGGCCAGCACAGCTCCAAGCCGTGGGGGCAGATAGCTCCATGATGCTTCCCAGGAACTGAGCCTGCAGCCACTCTTCATTGCCACGTGGACCTTGCTGACAGCATCTGTAAACTCCCGAGGACAGGTGCCAAGGTCTTAAAAACCTCCCCAAAAGAGTTCACCAGGGCTGGCTGGCACAGGTTTTTGTTTTGTTTTTGTTTTTGAGACGGGGTCTCACTATGCAGCCCAGGCTGGCCTTGAACTCTCAGCGGTCCTCCTGCCTCAGCCTCCTGAGGGTTGGGATTATAGGTGTGTGCCACGACATGTGGCTGGTGTGGCACTTTCGTGGCCACCGCTTTCCCTTCCACTCGTGGCTGCAGGAGGCTGGCGGGCCAGGCACCATCTCCAGGGGCAGAGGAGGACGCCAAGCTCAGAGGGGCTCAGTGAGCTGCTGGGATCACACGGCCCCCGCAGGCAGCAGGGCGGCGAGATGCTGGTCTCTCCCCACGCCTGATTCTGCCCGTGAGCCACGGCTCCCCAAGTTCTCCCTGTGCATCCGCCAGGTCCCCAAACCTTCTACATGGCGAGCGCGCATCGTACGTGTCATTCGATGTGACCTCTGATGTCGCCCTCGGGCTGTTATGTCCCCGCCTGTCCAGTGGGGAGGCAGCACGTGCCCGGGGGATGGGCGAGGGAGGGTCTCAGAGCAGCCGACCCTGCGCTCGCCCCGTCCCCAACACGCTGCTGCCCAGCGAAGGGCTGCTTTTTGTTCTGGGATGGAACCCAAGGCCTCCGCACTGAGCTACCACCCCGGCCCTTTTATTCTTTATTTTTTGAGACAGGGTCTCACCAAGTGGCCCAGGCTGGGCTCAAAACTTGTGAGCCTCCTGCCTCGGTCTCCCAGAATGCTGGGATAATGGATTACGCCACTACACCACCTCCCATTTAGTTTTTATTTTTAAGATCTTATTTGGCTTTCTCTTCTATTCGAGAGTCAGGCAGTAGCTCATTTTCCCAAATAGAACATGTACCTGGAGAACATCACTTTTAACTTTAAAGCACTCGAGTTGCAACATGATTATGGTCAGAAAAGCCATAAAAGCATCTCCCGATGTGAAGCCAACCTCTTAAGAGAGAAAAGGGAAACAAAATCAATTGGCCCCAGTCGGCTCCCCCAGTGTCCCTCGCACCCTCCCTGGGTGTCTGCCAGTCTGCTGCGGGGTGCAGGGTACGGAGCAGGGCGAGTGGAGGAGGACGGTGTGCAGAGGCTGGATGGTCACGTGTCAGGAAGAGCCTGCTGCAGCCAGGCACAGTGGGACATGTCTACAATCCCAGAACTCTTGAGAGGCTGAGGCAGGAGGATCTCAAGTTTGAGCCCAGGCTGGGCAATTTGAGGAGCCCTTGTCTCAAAATAAAAAATGAGGAAGGGCTGGGAATGACAACAGTTAGGGAAAAGGACACAGCCCCCCAGTCGAGGGTGGCTCCCTGGGATGAGGGGCTCAGGCCACACTGCTGGCCAAAGAAGGACAGAGCAGGAGGCCAGGGGCGGGGGCTGCGGCCCCTGTAGGAAGAAGCAGGAGTGATGAGTTGTCCTGGGGAACGTCCAGTGGCAAAGATCACGAGCCGACAAGAAGACAGAACAGTTGTTCCCGATGGTCCCAAAGAAGGGGACAGTGGAGTCCCAGGCTGGGCAAGGAGCAGCGCTGTCCCAGCTCACCTGTTCCCAAGGCGACGGCCCCGCACCTCCTCCCTGTGTGTCCCGGAAGTGTCTGGAGGAAACATCTGCCCTGGAGCATGATGTCACTCGTGGCACTGTCAGTGAGTGACACAGATCCACCCCGCACAGCCAAGCGGCTTCAGCAAACCGACAATGCCACCGCGGGGCTCCACCCTCCTCCTGCCCTGAAAGAGGGGACAAAGGGCCTCACTGAGGAGCAGGTTGGGAATGCACACAACTGTAATCCCAGCACTTAGAGGCTGAGGCAGGAGGATCGCTACAAGTTTGAGACCAGCCTGGGCTTCAGAGTGAGCGCAAGGCCAGGCCCTGTCTCAAAAACACCAAAATAAGCTGCTAGAAGTCAACAGGAGTCACGGTGGCCCCGGGGCTAAGAGGAAAGTCAGAGCCACCCCAGAGGGAGGCTGGGCAGACAGGGCCGCAGCACTCGTTATTTCTGGGCCCAGGAGCACAGTTCTTTACCTCCCTCCTGGGTCACAGCTGCACTAGAGCGAGGCGTGAAGCCTGGTCCCACCCAGACCACCCACCCCACAGCTGCTGCAGACAGACAGCGCCCGACCTGAGCCCCTCGGGACCCGCGGTACGGAGCCCAAGTCGGACCAAACCGCAGCTTCTTCAGCTTGCACGGCCACTTCCCAGCTGCCTGCCACGCACTTAGGGCCTTCTCCTTCACTGTGAGTGGGAAACCGCACACAGGCGCTATGCACACGAGGGTGCACTCACCCCGCGTGACGTCTACGCTGTCCACACGCGGGGACCAAGGGTCTGAGAAGAAATCCATCTCAGTGCTTCCTCCACACAATACCACAAAAACAACATCTTAGGACCGAGCGCATAGCAAAACCAAGGGGGAAATGTGGCGTGGCAGCGTACAGCTCTAACCCCAGCACTCAGGAGGCTGAAGCAGGAGGACTGCTGCAAGTTCAAGGCCAGCCTGGGCTACATGAGAGACCGTGTTTTGAAAAAACAAATAAACAACAAACAAAAGGACACTTCAGTGTGGTTTCCTGTCTTACTTTTAATTTAGTGCAAAACTTCAAAACACAGATACCTTATAACGAGCTGGCTCACAGGCGTGGCTGCCACCTTCCAAGGAAAGAGCTCACTCTTTACACTTCTTTTTCTTGCTTTTTTTCCCTTAGTATGTGTGCTGCCGAAGCAAGCACGTTTTTGTGGTTCTTTTGAGAGACGATTTCACTCTGCAGCGCAGGCTGGTCTTGAACTTGCCTATGGAGCTCAGACTGGCCTTGAACTCACAGCGATCCTCCTGCCTCAGCCTCCCTAACAGGATTACAGGCATGCGCCACCACGCTCAGCTCATACATTTCAGTCTGTCCTTTCAGCTTTCATGAAATAAGACTCCTCACCTCCCAAACACAAGTGATTTTATTATTTACACAGCCTGGGAGTGGAGAAGCACTAGAAAAGGGGAATTCCCAGAGGCCCTCCGCAGGCAGAGGGCAGGGACAGCCTGGGCTGGGTCCGCACTGCTCCAGCCAGTCACTTCCGGGTGTCGCTTCCAGACGGTCACTTCCGGGTGTCACTTCCAGGTGGTGAGGACGGCCCTCCCCGCGTCTCGAGAGCGGCCCCCTTTGGGCCCTGGCGTCTGGCCCGTGCGACTTCTGAGCTCCCGGTCCACCCCGTCCCCCTGGGCCAGCTCCTCGTCGTACCTGCAAACAGAGGTCTCCAGGGTCAGGAGCTCTTGCTGAGGCAGGGGGAGAGATGTCAGCAGGCCGTGGCCTGGCCTGGCCCTGGGTCCTGTCCCCGCCCACCCCAGCCACAGCCTTTTTTTTTTTGAGACAGGTCTTGCTATGCAGTTCAGGCTGTCCTTGAGCTCACATTGTAGCCCAGGCTGGGCTCGAACTCACAGCGATCCTCCTGCCTCAGCCTCCCGAGTGCTGGGATTACAGGCGTGCGCCACCATGCCAGGCCCAGCCACAGCCTGGCTCAGGCGGCTTCCACAGCCCACAAAACACCCAAAGCCGCCGAGACTGAGCGCCCCCTGGTTAAGGTGCCTCTGTGCACGTCTCCGCCAGGTGACATGGTAACAGGCCATCAGCCAGCGTGGCAGTGGCCACAACGGAAACACGAGGCGGCCCCCAGCAGCCTGGGCGGGGAAGACTTGAGTCTCCCAGCGCTTCACACGCAGCACCCAACCCGCTCAGCCAGGAGCAGGTGTTGGCAGGCTGCCGGGAAGGCCTGGGTGAGGCACGCGGCTCTGCACACTTCTCCCTGCCTGACTGGTGGCCGCGGCTGGCGGTCACGGCATTGGGCCGGTCCCACCCTTCCGCCGTGCGGTGCTCCTGTCCCGAGGTCCCTGAGGCTGGCGGGGCGTCACCTGCACCTGGAGCAGTTCCAGCAAACGTGGCCTCTCCCCAGGGTGACTTAGAGCTGGGGTACAGTGGCCTTAGGGCGCTGCCTGTCCCCCAGGGCTCACAGGAACAGGAAGCTGGTGGTGGGCATTCCAGTTCATGCCCCTCGGGCCGCACTGGCACTGCTGCCCCAGATCGCCCTCTCCCTTGGGGGTCACACAAGGCCAACATTTTGCATCTGGCACCTCCAGGGTCCGCTCTACAGTTGTTCTTCAAACTAGGTGTGGTGGAACACTCCTGTAATCCCAGCACCAAGAAGGCTGAGGCAGGAGGACCATCAAAAACCCAAAAGAAAAAGGAAAAATGCCCCCCAGAGCCCAGTCCAACTTGGCACAGTCTGTCCACCTCAGGAAGCCGGCTGGAAGAGGAAGGGCCACGGCGGCTCTGCTCGAGTTACACAAGCCCTGAGGGGCCAGGCTGCCCCTCAAGGCTGCCGCCTGCCAGCTGCCTGCGTCTGTTTGGCCTTGAGGCTGCAGAGGACGCTCAGGCATGCAGGGGCCTGTGTGCCCCATGTGATCGTCTGTCCTCTGCTCAGGTTCCAGCTCCTTCCCTCCCCCCCCCGCCCGTCAGTGGTGCCCGGACTGCTGGGGCCCGGCCCTCACTGTCAGTGGTGCTGGAGTCCCCCGTGACCTTCCTGGAGTGGAAGAAGACTGCTCAGTGGATACAGACAGGGATCGGGCCTTTCTTCCTTCCAAATAATACCAGTGGGGCTTCTAACCCCCACCAGTGTACTTTATTTTGTTTTTGTTTTTTGAGGCTGGGTCTCCCTGTATAGTTCAGGCTGGCCTTGAACTCACTACGTAGCCCAGGATGGCCTCAAGCTCAAGGCGATCTTCCTGCCTCAGCCTCCCCAGTGCTGGGACTACAGGCGTGCGCCACCCGGCTTCTTTTCTTCCCTTCTTCCCTCCTTTCTTTTGCAGTGTGGGGGTGGTTTTCTGGGGGCTGTTTCTGTCCCTGTAGGGCCAGGCCGCCCCCATGCCTGGCTCCACCACTGCCCCAGGTGTGCCTCCCCCGGGGCACCTGCCTTCCGCAGCCACGGCCCTCCCTCCCAATGGGCCCTCGCTCTGGCCGCGGTCTCGGCCAGCCCTGCAGGTCCTGAACCACTCCAAGCCTGTTTCCTCCTCTGTAAAAGGAAGCTGAGGAAACAGGAGCCGTGGCGCTGGGTACTGTTCCCTCCCTTCAGCTCAGTTGCACCGTCGTGCCCACTTCACAAGGGGCCAGGTGGGCAGTGGAGGCCCACAACAGCCACAGGTCCTCAAGTCCCACGGCTCCAGGGGGAGCCGGGTGTCCTCCCGGATGTCCCCACCCTGCCCTCCCCACCCCCTCCTGCTGTCCCCGTGGCCGCTGGGTGCTGGCGCTGGCGCTGGCGAGCTGGACAGACCGGTCTGGGCCAGCCCTCCAAGAACCATGTGTCCCCAGTGGGGCTCTGCCTCTACACACATGGCCCCGGAAGCCCAGCCCTGGCCTCTGCTCGAGACAGAGGACAGGCGGGGCGTCCCGCAAACTTACAGGATTTCGTAATTGCCGAGCACCTCCTTCGGGGGAGACTTGTTCCATTTGCAGTCCGGGATCTCCCCGTTGGGCACCGCGATGTTGAGGGTGTCGTTAATCAGGTTGTACTTAAGGATCCGATCGTTGGCCGTGCTGGAGGTGAGAGACGGGGATGCGTTAACCTAGGAGAGGGAGAACACAGGCTTCACTCACGCTGCTGGCTCCGTGGGCACGAAAACGTGTGCTGCGGAGAAAATACGGGCTGTTACCCGCTGTAGGTAAAGCTGTCACCTTCCATGTGAAGTTTTTTTTTTGGTTTTCTGAGACAGGGTCTCAATGTGTAGTTCAGGCTGATCTGGAACTCACTATGTAGCCCAGGCTCTCCTCAAACTGGTAGTGATCCTCCTGCCTCAGCTTCCTGAAGCCTGGGATTAATGAGTGTGCACTGCCACACTGTGTGACCAGCTCTGCCTTAAGAACCAGGAGTTGCATGCAGCGTCTGAGGCACTGGTGACCACAGGGCCCTGGCTGGGCAGCAGTGCAGTTTCATGGACGCTAGATGGCGGCCTTGTCTGCTAAGAGCAAAATGCAGCAGTCCAGCCTGGGTTTAGGTCCAGAGAGGGCCCCCTCCAGTACACGGGCAGCTGATCCCCCCGGCCTCTGCCACGGAACCCACAGGTCAGAAGTGATGTCTGTCCAGGAGAGGTCCAAGGCCTGGGGCTCCCACGGCAGGCCGCTCCAGCCCAGGTGATGAGCAGCTTCTCAGTTACCGCATTTGCGCCCTAGCGGCAGACCTGAGGCAGACAGGGCCGAAGGGTTTTAGGGCCTCGGCTGCCCTTCCGATGGCCTCTGCTGGGGATCGCAGAGTGGGAATTCTCATGATCAAGGCGTGAAGATGAACTACGCTACAGGCAGGCTGGGGAGGGGAGGGAAAGAGGGTCAGCACGTTCTGTGCACGGCCAACTCCCCCAGCACGGACTGCACACGGTGCCAATAAAAACTAACCATTAGAAAAGAGAGGCTTGCCTGTCCCGGTCTTCCCAGTGCCCTGCCAGGGCCTGCGAGGGCCAGAGCCGGCGCCTCCAGCAGAGCTCAGCGGAGACACAAGCTCGGGGAGGCGAGGAACGGCGCCCCCCAGTGTGCGGCCTGCGTTCCTACAGCTCAGCTCCAACGCAGGGCTCCCGTAGGCACCTCCTGGCACGGGGTAAGGACAAGGATGGCGTGCAGGGAGCCACGCCACCCCGCCGACAGCCTCAGAGCCAGAAGGCTCGGCTGGATGTAGGGCGCCTGCACCCCGGCCCTTTGGCAACAGCCCCACCTTCCCCTCTCCTTAAAACAGACAACAGAGAGGTAGAGCATGTCTGCAAACCAGCACCCTGGGAGGCTGAGGCAGAAGGATCACAAACTTAGCCTGGGCAATTTCGCAAGACCATGTCTCAAAAAAAAAATAGAAGGCGCTGGGGACATAGGTCAGTGTGAAGGCCCCGGATTCAATCCCCAGTACCGAAAGAAAGCAAAACAAAAACCCCCAAAGCAGCCAAATGACTCTGCAGGCCGAAGAATAAGAACTGGCCCTGTCCCAGGACAGTGCACCCCTGCTGGCCGAGGCCTCGGGGTTTGTGAGCTCCTGCCCACCGGGGATGATGCCCCCGGAGGTCAGGGCAGGATCGCCAAAGTGGGGACCAACTGGAAACCCCGGGACCACGCTGTTCCAGCCGCCAAGCTCCCTGGAAGATGGACGCAGCGCCGTCCCTGTGCATGGGGCTGGCGGAGATGGGGGGCCGAGGTCAACCCAGCCACCAGCAGAGCGACAGGCCTGGACACCTGCCTCCATCCTCCTGTGCCTGTCCCTGGTGGCTGGGGACCATCGCGCCCGGCGCAGGGCAGAGCCCAAGTGCCCGGAAGCGGGGCCGCGCAGTTACCTCGATGAGCCAGGGCTTCAGCTTCTCGTCGATGATGATGTCGTAGCCGTAGCACTCGAAGCAGTGCTTGTCGTTGTTCATCACCGGCTGCAGAGAGAGGGGTGCGCGGGGGTCACAGGGGGCCTCGGCGACTCACAGGGCACAGGGCCGGCCGGGTGGGGTGCCTGTGACCAGGGACTCAGGCTCCCGGGGGAGACCACGGTGGCAGGTGGAAGACGCCGCCCCGGCCTTGGGACAGAAGCCCCTTCCTGCACCAGCTCCGGGGTCCTATGGGTTCCTCACGAGTTACAGGGCGACAAGAGCCCTCGGGACCCCGGCTGTGCAGCCTGGAGCAGGTCCCAGCACATAGAAATAGACGTGCGCCTGCTTCCCCCGTGACCTCGGCGGACTGCCAGCAAATGCAAGGCCTGAGCTGACAGGAAAAGCGGAGGAAGGGTATTTTCGGCCCTAACTGTGCATGAAACAGCGAAGTCAAGGCGCCCGAAATGAGGAGGCTACGGAAAGCCCATCTCCAACACAGCCTGCCCTTGCTTTCCTTTTTTTTTTTTTTTTTTTTTTTTTTCCATTTTGTTGGTACTGGGGCCTGAACCCAGGGCCTCTGCACTGATCCACATCCCAGCCTTTTATACATTTTTTTCTTTGTCTTTTTGAGATAGGGTCTCCCTATGCAGTTCAGGCTGGCCTTGAGCTTACTTTGTAGCCCAGACTGGTCTTGAATTTGCAACGATCCTCCTGTCTCAGCCTCCCGAGGGCTGGGATTACAGGCATGTGCCACCATGCCTGGCTAGATGTGGTATTTTTTTTTTTTTTTTTTTTTTGGTACCGGGAATCAAACTCAGGACCTCGTGCTTGGCAGGCAGGCACTTGTGCTGGGGAGCTAAATCCATGGTCTCTTTTATACACTCTGAGACAGGGTCTTGTTAAGTTGCTCAGGCTTGGCTTGAACTTGCTCTCCTCCTGCCTCAGCCTCAGAGTGCACCACCACGCTCAGCCGAAGCATCAGTTGTTTTGTTTTGTTCTGTCTTTTGAAAGAGTTTCCCTATACAGTTCAGGCTGGCCTCGAACTCATAGCAATCTTCCTGCCTCAGCCTCCCAAGTGCTGGGATGACGGGCATGCACCACAGTGCCCTGCCTCAAAGCATCAGTTTCTGCCAAAATAATAAATGCAGCAGGCATAAGGAGAGCCGACAGTGGTGCTGGGGGATTCTGCGCCCCGGAGGACCCAGGGCTGGCGCGTAGCCCGCCCCTTCTAAATCTCCCTCAGCCCCCAGCACACCTGCGGAAGGTAAGACAGGAAGCGGGTGTCCTGAGCAGAAGAACAGCAGTGCCACTCCCAGGGCCCGGCTCACTCGGCCTCCCCGGCTCTGCCCACCTGCCTGGCAGCCACTCACCGCCACAGCCTTCAGCGACTGCACAATGATCCAGTGGATCTCGTCGAACAGCTTGCTGGTCACCTCCCTGCCGCGGGTGCTCTCCAGGTAGAGGCGCAGGTTGCTCACAGTCCACTTGCCCCCGTGGATGTGGTTGTAGTCCTCCTGGAAAAGAACGGGCAGTGCCACCCCAGGGGCAGGAGGCCGCTGCGTGTTCACCCCTGGGACAACTCCCCAAGGGCCTCCAGGGTGCTGGGCACCTGGCCAAGCTGGACCACCGCTCATGCCCGCCATCCCAGTAGCAATCCCAGCAGGCTGGGAGGCTGAGACAGGAGGATCTCAAGTTCTAACCCAGCCTGGGCAACTTAGTGATGGTGAGACTCTGTGTCAACAAAAAGTTTGAAAAAAGGTTGGAGAAGTAGCTCAGTTTGGAGGCCTGGGATCGATCAATGCCCAGGAGAGCAAAAATAAATAAAACTCTCAACTCTCAGATATTTCACAAGTGACTATTTGTACCTTTAGCCTCCACTGTGGAGTATGGCCCAGGTCCCCCAGCAAGGTCACCGACTCTCAGCCCAGGCCCTCGGGGAGCTCGCTTGGCCAACTGCCACCCCCACCCAACCCTCTGCTGAGCTGCCGGCATCCAGCCTCCCTGCAGAACATCTCCACAGGGCACCGGGCTGCACGGTGCCCCCTGGTGCCTGCTGTGGGCCTCGGCTCCCAAGCCCAGCTGGCCACTCTCTCTCCCACGCAGGTCCAGCTGCAGACAGTGACCCCATAAAGCTCCCGCTTGCTGATCTCCGCCTCTGTCAGTCACTGGAAAGCCAGCCCGAGGCACACCAGTGCCGTGCACCAGGGTGTGAAAGCACCACACAGGCAACCTCGGACAGCCTCACCAGCTCCGTGCCATCCCTGGGTGAGAAGCTGGCTCTTCCGTCTGAGCTGGGGTGCAGGGGCCCCAGCCCAGGGTCTCTGATGCCTGCTCCCTCCTCTTCCCCATCCCTGCAAATTAATTCCGCACACTCGGTCTGTCTTTGAAGGTCTGGGGCTAGAAAACACCAGTATGTTTGGAGTCTAGGGCTCATTTCATTGCCTTTTTGCTTGAGAACTTCAAACCTAAACAAAAGTCTAATTACAAACAAAGGCCACTGACTTGGAATAAAGACAGAATTAACTATATCTTTAAAAAATACCTCTACAAGGAAAGAGATAATGAATTCCTTTTGAGAAACATCAGTTTTTATTAAAATATTTCAATAAACTGGATCTGGTGGTGCACACCTGCAATCCCAGCACTCTGGAGGCTGAGGCAGGAGAAGGGTGAGTTGGAGCCCAATCTTGAGCGACTTAGCAAGACTCTGTCTCAAAATAAAAAGAGGGTGGAGGGTGTAGCGCAATGTGAAGGCTCTGGGTTCAACCCCAGCACCACACACGCACAGAAAAAGTGTGGCATTGGGTGAAGGGCGTAGCTCAGGGTACTCAATGTGCCCAGGGTGAGCTCCACCTCCGCTGCGGAGCTACAACCAAAACACCGGCGTGCACACTGCGTAAGTGAGTCAGGTGGACTGAATGCATTTTCCACCTGCAAACTTTTCAACTTAAGAAATATTTACTGGGACGCGGCCCCATCTCAGGTCAAGGGGCATCTGTAACACCACTGCCTCCTCTCCTCGGGCAGACTTTGCCAAGGCCCCAGAACCAGACAGGTGGGGCCTAAACCTGCAGACTTCCTCTCACTGCCCATCCGTAGCCCAGGAGAGTCGCACCTGCCACTTAGAGAGTCCCATTCCCCCTGGTGTGGGGCCTTGGCGAGAACATAGATTGAATATCAAGCCTGTACCTGCCCTGTGTGCTCTTTTTCTTTTGTTTTTTTGAGACAGGGTCTCACTCTGTAGTTCGGGCTGGGCCTGAGCTCACTTTGTAGCCCAAGGTGGCTTCAAACTCAAAGCGATCCTCCTGCCTCAGCCTCCCGAGTGCTGGGATTGCAGGTGTGCGCCACCATGCCTGCTGCCCTGTGCTTTCTGGAAAAAAACAGAAAGGAAACCCAGAGTGCGGGTCCACTTGCCCCTGCTCGAGGGACGATGCTCACCCCGTGCTTCTGGATGGCCACGTTGGTGAGGTGAACGAACATGTTGTCCAGCTCGCTGGTGCTTGGCGTGTACTTCACTGTGCAGAACCGGCAAAACCCAAGCTTATACCTAGGCGGAGGTTCACACTGAGTCAGCTCTGAGAAGACACAGAAGCAACTGCAGTGCTTCCCGCTCAGACTGACCCTGGATCAAGGTCAACCCCAGTCCTGACCCTGTGCCAGCCGCAGCTGTACATGAGTGGCTGCATTAAACCAGGAACCCTCACGGTGGCGCTAAGGAGCTCCCTGCAGAAGGGACGCAGAGCCTGGGACACGTACATGTAACAGCGCAGCGGGCGGTAGGTGGACACCAGCACATACAGGCGCAGGTCAAACTTCCTCCCGCCGATGAGCAGCGGGTTGTTGATATAGAGTGAGATCACGTAGGCTTCTTTCGTAGATTGAGACACAAACCTGCACATGCCAGAGGAAGTCACAGTGAGATGGCAGAAGACAGGACAAGTGGTGGCCCACACTTACACTCCCAGCACTTGGGGAGGCTGAGGCAGAAGGGTCAAAAGTTCAAACCTAGCCTAGATAACATAGCAGCTTAGCGAGACCCCATTTCAAATGTTAAAGTTTTTCAAAGGGGCTGGGGATGTAGCTCAAAAAAGAGCCTACAACAGAAAATACGTTCAACCAGTAAGTGTCAGGCTGGGATTGGAGGCCAGGAGCCCGGAGTCCCAGGAGCATGAGCCCCGCTGCCCCAACTACAGTGCCTGCGCCTCCTCCTGAGCACAGCAGCCCCCGAGGCCCCACGGGTGACCACACCACGACCCTTGTGTGGGGTCCGCGATCGTTTAGCTGGCAGAGCCCTGCTGGGACGACAGGGGACCCTTGGTGCGACCTGCAGAACCAGGCGAGGGCCACCCGGCTGGAAGCCCCGAGACCACAGGACGGCAGGTGGCCGCCAGCCCGAGCCCGCACTTACGAGGACGTCTTGCTGTCGCGGGACCACTTCTTGATCTGCGAGAGCTTGTTGATGAGGAAGATGCCCTTGCCCTGGGCTTTGCCACACGGCTTCATGATCCAGGTGCTGGACGGGCTCTTCCGGAACTCCTCCACGAAGAGGTTGTAGTCGGCGGGCAGCATGTAGGTGACCGGGACGAAGTCTGAAAGGTCAGAGACGCCCCGTGCTGGCCAGGAGTCAGCCCAGCACGGGCCACGAACAGGACGCGATCGACACCGCCCGTCAGGTGTGACGTTGTCAACTCAGCCCCAATTCGTTTCTTTCGTTTGTTGGCACAAGGTCTCACTATGTAGCCCAGGCTGGCCTCGAACTTGTGGCGATCCTCCCGGCTCAGCCTCCCAGGTGCTGGGATTACAAGCCTGTGCCACACACCCAGTCCCTCTGCTTCAATTCGGCACTGAACATGACAAGGACTTGTGCTGCTCGAACCCCAAACGCGTGGACAAGTGACCTCGGTCAAGCTCTATGTGCAAAACTCAGCAAACGTTCTTTAGCCCCCACCGCAAGCTGTGAGCTGGGCGCTATCACTGCTGCCCAGCGGAAGAGGAAACTGATGCTGGAGAGGCTGCTTATGTAATTCTGCCTCACATCCGCCCAGCCAGCCGGAGACCCCTAGGGGAAGCAGGTGCCCCCCAGATGCCGCCGACCCGCCCCCTGAAGAGCCAGCAACCACGCACCGCCAGAGCTCAGACCGCGGCCGGCGAAGGCACGAACCCAGATAGAGGTATTTTCCGTTCTCATCCTTTTCGGCCAGAGGACTCCCCTCCTTCTCCAGCTCCTTCCGGTATCTCTTAATGTTCTTCACCATCAGGTCCTTCCGGGTCAGCTCGTAGTGGTTGGGGAAATGGTTGACTATCTGATCGTCCGAGAGCCGGTACCCAGTCTCGACACTGAACACGTTCCGGATGGTCTGCACACTCATCCTGAAACGGAGGCCGCATGGGCGCCTGAGTCCCACGCCCCGCAGGGCCCCACCCTGGCACCCCCACAACCCCAGCAGAGCCAGGGGCTGCCAGCCACAGCGGCACAGGCCGCGGGTCCGGGAATGGCGGTGACCAGGACCGGAGCTGCCTGGAGTCTGTGTCTCGACACCGTCATTCTCTGGCCGGGAACACGCTCACTGACTCGGTCACTGTGATTATGGGTACTGTGGACCTTCGAGCAACGACCAGCCTAACATACGAACAGCCTGGGTTAGGACTAGAATTTTAGCTTTAATTTACAACCAAAGTCTTGGGACTGGGGATTTAGTTCAGCGGCACTGCGCCTGCCTGGCAAGTGCAAGGTCATGAGTTCGATTCCCGGTACTGGAGAAAAAACAAAAAAAAACCACAACCAATGTCTCGAGTTATGACCAGATGCCGGCCGCTTGTGCAGCTGTCAACAAAGAATCAAGATGCCACAAAAGGGTACGTGAGCGTCAGTCTGAGCCCTGCTGCGCGAGTCTGGGTGTAATCTCAGTTGGCGCTTTATAGCATCCTTGTCATTACTGCTATCAGAATGGCCCCCAGACGCTAGAGAAGCTAAGAAGGGAAGGTAAAGAAAACAGTCACAGTAGAAAAGAACAGTGTTAAGGAAAAGACAGGAACCGACAAGCTCAGACCAGTTTTTAGTCCTGAAAAGGCTCAGACCTAGTGAGCCGGAAGCAGCCTAGCGGGCTACGGGTCTGCCAGGGGGAGCGGACGGCAGAGCCCCGGGTCCGTGGAAGGGACTCCTCCCACACAGTAAGCACCTCCCCGCTCACCCTCCCTTCCTGCGAGCCGCAGATGTCGCCCTGAGTGGCAGTATGACACTGTCGTTTCTGGTAAGCTAGGTACATTCGATAACTTTTTGGTGAATATACTGGGAAATCTATTGGTGTCTCTGGTAAATGACACACATTATACAACTCCTCTTTATTCTGAAAAGGTTAAGCGGTGCTTTGGGAGGATCAGAATCCATTATGGGTATTTCCATGATTCCTTATGGTAAAATACTCTTTTTTTTCCTTTTGTCTTTTTGAGACAGGGTCTTGCTATGCAGTTCAGGCTGGCCTTGAGCTCACTTTGTAACCCAGGTTGGTCTTGAACTCCTAAGGATCCTCCTGCCTCAGCCTCCCAGTGCTGGGATTACAGGTGTGCACCACCATCCCTGGTTAATGAATTTTACCCTTAGTTCTTTTACTTATTTATTTATTTTTTGGTACTGGGAACCGAACTCAGGACCTTGTGCTTGCCATGCAGGTACCTGTGCCACTGAGCTATATCCCCGGCCCCTAAATACTCTTGATTTACAACCAACTTGAGTTACAACCAACCTTGGAACAAACCGCATTCACAAGTCAAGGCTCCGCTGTAACATGGCTAACGGATCATCGCAAAACGGACCCCTCATTTCCAACGTTTGCACTCAAATTCAGGAGGCTGAGGACACCTTAAGATAGAAGCTGTCAGCGCAGGGTGCCTGAAGCAGGGCCTCAAGGCTGCTCTTCTTCCCCTCCCGGCTGGATTCACTTCCCAAGGTTTTTATCTGTCAATCATCCAATTAGTTCCCTGGGGCGGCAAACCACGCGCATGCGCACACACCAAGCAGGAACTAACCAGCTGCAAAGCGACACCGCCAGCCAGCCCCGTCCTCGGGGCCACAAGAGACAGCAGTGCTCCAAAGGAAGCTCTGCTTAAGCACAAGATCATCTTCACTCACCAGTAAAAATTCCAGTCCTCGTTCTCTGTGACTTGGACCCATCCTCTCTTCTCGAAGTTATTGATCAGCACCGACTTCTCAATGTCAGTCACCCACTTCACCTTCCCGGCCATGACCCTGGGAGAGACGGGCGTGAGGCTCTCAGACTCCAGCGTCTTCCTCAGACCGGCAGCCTCCTCAACACCTGCAGAGCGACCACGCCTGCGACCCCAGCATGTGGGAGGCTGAGGCAGGAGGACGGAAAGTTCCAGCCCTGCCTGGGCAACTTCCTGACTTAGTGAGTGAGACCCTGTCTCAAAATAAAAAGCGTTGGGGGTGTAGCTCCGGGCAGAAGCTCTGAGCTCAATCCCAGGGAAGGGAAGGGCGAGGGAAGTGACATTCGCCACGGTCAGCCCGTGCCTTCTCATTCCACGGACCAGGAAGCTGAGGTCGGTGGCTAAGAGCCCATGTCAGACCCAGACCCAGGAGTCCTGACAGCCCACTGGACCCAGAGCCATCTCGCCGTGACGTGCCACCCTCTCCTCTCAGCCTGTCACCTCCTTCTGTGAAGGAGGCCTTCAGCAGGACGATGACGTCCACTCGCAGGGTCAACAGAAAGGACAATCGATGTCCCGCTCACCGCAGGGGTGGTGTCATCGACTGCTATGAGTGAGTGACACGGAACATCAGCGGCCACGGCGGGCTGCAGGCTCGCATCCTACACCCAGGGCAGGCTCCGCAAGCCTCCCGCCCACGGGGCAGTGTGAAGCCCATTGGCGTGGGAATTTCACTTTGTGGGTTTTTGTTTTTTGATTTTTTGGCAGTTCTGGGAATGAAGCTGGGGCCTCACACTAAGTTACCTTGCCAGACCATTTTAGTAGCCAATTTTTTGAGACAGGATCTCACTAAACTCCTAAATTCCCTAGATTGTGCTCAAACTCATAATCCTCCTGCCTCAGCCTCCCAGAGGGCTGGGAATACAAGCATGTGCCCCCCATACCCACCTGGGACTTTATATTTTTACCATTTAATTTTAGCCTCACAGCCCTGGCCCCCAGCCCTTGTTCCACACCCCCACCCCCAGTTCAACTGCAAAGCCAGGATTGCAGGGGGACCCCTCCCCCAGCCCAGCACTACCCTTGCCATCACTGCAGGGTGAACCTCACACTAACTCATTGGGGGACCCACACCAGCCGCTGCCTCACCCTGGGGTGGAGCAGAAGGGAGAGCAGTGACCCCAGCGAGTAAGGGCAGCGTGGTGGATGAGGCGGTTTGGCCACCCACAGTGGCCTAAATTTTCACTTGAACTGGATTAAGAGACTCCGGGAAGCTGGGCATGGGGGTGCACACCTGTAACCCCAGCACTTGGGAGGCTGAGCCGAGAGGATTGCCACAAGCTTGAGACTCCTGGGGGGTGACTGGGTCATGGGGTGCTGTACCCTCAGTGGATTCATCCACACCCGGCTGTGCTGTTCAGAGGAGGGGTCCAGGTAGAACTGGCCATAGACGCAGCCTTCCGAGGGCGTCTCCTGCTGCTGCTCGCCTCCTGCTCTGCTTCTGCCCTTTTGAACGGAGCAGCCCTGCTCCGCTAGGCCCTTCTGCCATGCTGCTCCTGTCTTGGAACCAGCCCACCATGGACTGGACTCTCCGAAACCACGAGCCAAGTTAAACCTCTTCACCTAAGCTGTGGGTGTTGGGTAATGGTCCCAGCCAGGGGAGAGCTGACCGGTACAGTCCTTGACCACTCTGGGACAAACATTCTCATCCTCATTCTGCCCAGCAGGAAGGGGAGCCTCGGCTGAGATGTCCTTCTGCCAGATATGCGGTGCTCCTCCTGGCGCCCCCCCCCCCCCCCCTACAACACAGTTGCTGGCAGAGCACCCAGGCCACACTCACCATAGGTCCCCCTGGAGCCAGCAGGCCGCCCACGTCTCCTTCGGCTTCACTGACGCTGGTGCCCGTTCTCGCCTGACACAGAAGGAACGGGGTGAGTAGCACCGCTAAGGCATCGCGGGGACACGGGCCCAGGAGGCACCTGACAGTGTCAGGGATATGGTGGGAACACTGAGGGGCAGTGTCCTGTGTGACAGGTTGCACAGGGGCCGCCTTCCGGGCAAGCGTGCCGCCTCTGCGCCCACCCTGGCTGAGACTAAGGATTCTGGGTGATATTATCCCTGAGCTCCTGCCCCTCATGCTGCTCTCTACCACGGGTGCCTGTGCACCATATGACACCATTTTCCAAGGGGCAGAGTGGGGCCCTGCTGTGGTTTCCATGTGTTGGAACCCTTGTCCCCAAATCCACACGTTGATGGCATCTGGAGGTGGCATCTTTGGAGGGGATGAGGATTAGGTGAGGTCAGGAGGGTGAGGTCCCATAATGCATTGGTGACCTCGTAAGAGGAGGAAGAAGCACGCTGTAATCCCAGCACTCAGAAGGCTGAGGCAGGAGGATCGCCGAGAGTTTGAGGCCAGCCTGGGCTACATAGTGAGTTCAGGGACAGCCTGAACTACATGGTAAGACCCTGTCTCAAAACCAAACAAGAATAAAATTTAAAAAAACCAAAAAGCTGAAGAGGAAGAAAGACCTGGCCTGGCTGTCTCCCCATGCCGTACAGGCGGGCTCCAGGAGAAAAGGAACTTTGCTCTGGCCTCCTCCAGCTGAACCCCTGGCACCCAGAGCTGGGGCTGGCAACAGCTGGTGCTCAATACATATTTGATGACTTTTTACAAACAAATAAATGAATTCTCCCTGCACAGGACCCAACAAGTACCACTGTGACAACCAATAAGTAGGTGAGAACCAGCTCTCCAAGGTAAAAGGCCTTCAGCCCCAGGAGGGCCCTGACCTCCTACAGAATGAGTCCCCAGCCCAGTCTCACTTTTGAGAGACAGCAGGGAGGAAAAGAGAACGCACACTCCTGAGACACCTACCCCTCTGGGTCTGGCCGTAAGAAAATGGGATCCCTAGTGGGTTGTGGTGACACACACCCATAATCCCAACCCTCAGGAGGCTGAGGTAGGAGGAGCACTGTGAGTTCAAGGCCAGGCTGCACTACATAATCACACACACACAAACACACACATACACACACACACACACACACACACACACACAGAGCCAGGTGTGGTGCTGCATGCCTGTAATCCCAGTACTCAGGAGGCTGAGGCAGGAGGATCATCATGAGTTCGAGGCCACCCTGGGCTACTACATAAGCGAGTTCAAGGCCAGCCTGAACTACACAGGCAGACCCTGTCTCAAAAAAGAAAACAAAACAAAAACAAAAATAATCTCCAACCCACCCCCACCCCGTTGTCACACACAAAGTTGCCAAATTGCCCAGGCTGGGTTTGAACTTGCCATCCTCCTGTCTCAGCCTCCTAGAGTGCTGGGATTAAAGGTGTGCACTACCACTCCTGCTTGATCATTACCACTTTTTAAAATGAAGTCCCAACTAGGCCAGGATTCCCCGACTTCTGGATTTTTCCCAATTATCTTTCTTTGAAAAGGAGAAAAGAAAGTTTTCTTACTCTTTAAGAAAACAGTAAATAACAGCGTGCCTAAGGGCTGCCTATGGGTGGGGCGCTTTCACTTGCAGCCCTCTCATCCCTGTCCCTCTTCACAGCCCCTCAGGGCGACAGTGCGGGCCATGCCACACAGTGACTCCCAGGGTCTGTAATTCCTGGGACCGCCAGCCAGCCCTGTAATGCTCCCACTAAGTGTTTCCTGAACAAAGAACCTGCTTTTCGGATTGCAAACCGGCTCACAATGCTAAGAAACGTCGGCTTTAGGATTTGTGCCTATACTGGCCCGGCTCCTCTGCAGTGCATGACAAATCCCGCGCGCTCCGGGTCCAGTCACCTAGAGAAAAAACGAACCGGCAGGAGACCCAAGGCTCCTGTCTCCTACCCCGAGTCCTCCCACAGGTACAGCGCTCCCTGCACAAGATGCCAACAGAAACAACACAGGCTGCAAACGAGAGAAAGGCTAGGAACAAAGTCTGGAGTAAGCAGTAATAAGAATAACGATGCAATTACAGATCGGACAGCACGAGTTGAGTCCCAGGAACTCATAGGAGGAAACAGATACAGTTGCCAACAGAGGTATCGGTGGAGAATGCGGACCCAGAAAACAGCACCTAAAAAGCATAGACTAGCAGCTCACACCGGTTCGCGCATGCGCACTCGCAGGCACGCGCGGCCACACCCACGACGCCCGGGAGGCGGCGGCCGGGGAGACTAGACCTCACCTGTGGACTCCGTGGGAGGCCGCCCCGCACGGCGCCCCGGGCCCGCCTCCAGCCCCACTCAGATGCTCTCGGGAAGACACCGCCCACAGCCCGGCCGAGCAGCCCGTCACTCCCGCTCAACTTCCGGGGCGCCGCCCTGGCAACCGTGGACGCTAAGGCCGGCGCCCTGACTACTTCCGGTGTCAGGCTTTCTTCCCTTTTTCTCTACACCGCGGGTCCCTGTAGCGGCGTGCAAGGGGCTTAGGGCTCAAGAAATGTCAGATCGTCTGCCCTTGCAACTTTAGGGACCCAGAAATGAGACAGCAGGGTCCAGGGCGCGCGATTCAGCCTAAAAGTGGGAAGGAAAGCGGCTAATGATTAGGTCCCACTGCTCACCTCCACTATGGCTCGGTTTCCCATTTGGAAAATGACGGCTGTAAATCGACCTACCTCCAGATAACTGTGGGATAATAGGAAGGTACCGCTCAGCGTGTGCTGATCAATAGGTGGCCCACTCAAAGGTCGCCTCCTTGGTACAGTATTCTTCCGAATAACTATTTTAGAAGTCCCTTCTGTTTAGGGAAAAGCAGCCTCGCCCAAGGATAAATTTAAAACCGAGACTGTACTTGGAGCTGCGTCTCAGCTCCCAAAACTGATTGGGTGGCTTGAACAGGTCACTGTGCTTCCGTGAGCCTCAGTTTCCTTTGCCTGTAAACTGGGGGAAAACATTTACATTGAAGGACTGTGGGAAGGATTCTTAAAAAAGCAAAAAACAACGTAATGTGCTTGGCATAGCTTAGTATGCATAACTGCCCAAATACTTGTGGAGTTGGTTCATAATAAAAGAGCACGCATCCCAGACGACCCTTGCTCTGAAAGGGCGCTCAGAGGCAGCGTGGGAGGGGAGACCATGGGGCCACATACCTGCTTTCTACCTCCCAGAGGTAAGCGCCAGCTTCCGAGTTACAACTTCTTCACTGTGAAGTGAGAATAGTAATCATCTCTCAAGAATACTGAGATGATTTTTTTTTCCGGTACCAGGAACCGAACTCACGACCTCGAGCTTGCCTGGCAGGCACTGGGCCCTGATCTAAATCCCCAGCCCCTTGCTGAGATGATTTTCAATCCCTTGTACACAGCACCTAGGAAGGTGCTGATGTTTATACCATTCGTTTCCTCTCCCAAGCACACGCAGCCATCCCAAAGACTATCGCCAGAGCCACAATACCAGGAGGCACTGATACACACGGCAGGGAAAGAGCAACGGGGGGACATTAAATACCCGACAAGAAACACTCTGGCCTCTGTGGAGAATTACCTGGGAACTAGGGATCCCCAAGAGGAAAAGACAGAAAACTACCTGGGTGTGATGCTTACATATGTAGTCTCAGCATTCTGGAAGGCAGAGGCAGGAGGATTTCAATTTCCAGCCTGCCCTGGACAATTTAGTGACTTAAGATACCTTATCTCAAAAAACAAAGCAAAACAAAACAACCCATTGGGGATGGTTGAAAATCAGGAGACCACCTCTCAAGGCTAATCTAATCGTGTGAATTTTGTTTGGGGGTTTTAACTCAGGGGCTCTCTTTCACTGCGCTAGATTCCCAGCCCTTTCTTTATTTTTTATTTTAAGACAAGGTCTCCCTAAACTGTCCACGCAGGACTCACATTTACAGTCCTCCTGCCTCAGCTTCCTTGAGTGCTAGGAGTACAAGCACATGCCATTCTACTTTTCTTTTTTGAGATAGGTTCTCATTATGTAATCCAGGCTGAACTTGAATTCGCTACGTAGCCCAGGCTAGTTTTGATCCTCCTGCTTCAGCCTCCCAAGTGTTGGGATTACAACTCGTGCACCACCACACCTGGCTAATTTTTTTAAAAAATTTTAAAAAAATTTTAAGATTGCCAGGAGCCTGGGTTCTACCCCAGCAATGAAGATAGAAAGAGATTTTTAAAGGCACCGTGTTGCCATCAAGATAAATCCAGATTCCTCAGTGTGTTCTCAGTTTCCATGTTAGCCTTTATACTGTGCTGTGCCTGAGCTTGCTTCCCCGGAACAGTGATCCTGTAACAATGCTGGCAAGCCTATGGCAGGTGCGCTGGAGCGGGCTATTTGTATCACTGATAGCTCTAAAAGGTACTAATTTCAAGGGTAAATTGAAAACATCAATATCAATGCATGATGTATGACAAAACGTTAACGTCCATAATATAGAGGTGGGAATGACGGTTCAGGCCTATTCTCCCAGCACTCAAGAGACTGAGGTGGGAGGATCACTTGAAACTTGTCTCAAAGTTAAAGCAAAGTAAAACACATATGCATAATATTCAAAGGATCTTCACAATCAATAAGAAAAAAAAATGCAATACGAAACATGTTTAAAAGTCAGGATGGGGTGCACCTTAATCTTAGCTGCTCAGGAGGCTGAGGCATGAGGATTACAGGTTTGAAGCCAGCCTGGATAATTTAGGAAGATCTTGCCCCAAAATAAAAAGAGCTGAGGATGTAGTAGAGTGGTAGAGTGCTTGCCTAGCATAAACAAAACCCTAGATTGAATCCTCAGCACAGCATAAATAAATAAATAAATAAAAATAAATAAAATTTAAAGACTAATGTGAGGAAAAAGACATTCATGTCTACCACTGATATTCATACTTCTTTGGGAAGGCTAGGAATTTGGCAGTATTTGTCAAAATTTTATTTTATTTTAATTTTTTTGTATTTAATAAATGGTAGTTTTATTTAATTTTATGTCATTTGAGGGAGGGGCGGATGCAAAAGCATATTATTAAGAGATAAGGAGCCAGAAACCGTATATTTATGGTCTGTGATCTTTCCTTTGCTTGAGGAAACTGTTCATCCAAAGCTATATTTGTAGAGTCTTTTGTGCTACTTTGCTCAATAATCAGACAAATCAAAGTTTGGCTGTATATGTATTTCTTCTGTGTGTATTTGCAGTACAAAAATCTGGAGAAAAAAAGAAGGGGAAAATTTTAAATTATGTACTCTAATGAAAAATTGCACATTTAGGAATTTATTCTACAGAGTTATCACCTAGGTAAACAGAGAGAGATGTATAGGCGCATTTAAAGCAGGATTATTCCTAATAATGAAAAACTGGAAAAAATATAAATGTTCATCAGCAGACGTCTGGTTGACTAAGGCTCACATTTGATGAAATGGTATTGAGTTACTCAGAGGAAAAGGTATGTTTGAGGCTCGTGTTTCAACCTCTAGGACCAAAAAAAAAAAAAAAAAAGGAAAGGAGAAAGTACATCTATGTGTGCTGAGCTGGAAAATAATACATATGAAACAAAGTGGGCCCAGTGGTACACACCTGTAATCCTGGCTGCTAGGGAAGCTGAAGCAGGAGGATCACAAGCTCAAGCCAATCCTGGGCAGTAAGACCATGTCTCCAATTTAAAAGTTTTATAAAGTTCTGTGTAGCTCAGTGTGAACAACATAGGTTCAATCCCCAGTATCAACAAAAAAAAAAGAGGAAGAAAGAAAGAAAAGAAAGATTACGTGAAAGTATAAGTGACATTAGCTTTGTGTACCGTGGTCTCATTTTATTTATTTATTTATTTATGATGCCAGGACTCAAATTCAGGGCCTTGCTCTTGCCAGGCAGGCGCTGTGCCACTGAGCTACATCCCCGGCTCTGTGGTCTCATCTTAAAGGTGTATATTTATATACATCATATATAATTTGGGAGATAAAATGTGAAAAATATACCCAATATTGTTAGGAGTCGTTCTCTTTGGAAGCTAAAATACCAGAATGTATTTTCTTTCTTTTTTTTATTTTCTTTTTTACAGCCTATATTTTTATTGTCTGAATTTTTAGTAGCACAATAGTATTATTTTGTAAATTTTTAAAGCTTCAATAAAATCAATTAGAAAAACGGACCCTTTTCCAACTTCAAAGTAGCAGACTAGCTGGGCATGGTGGTGCACACCTTAATCCCAGCACTGGGAAGGCTGAGGCAGGAGGATCACTGTAAGTTGCAGGCACCCTGGGCTTTATAGTGAGTTCAAGGCCAATTTGAGCTACATAGCAAGATCCTGTCTTGAAAAACAAACAAAACAAAAGTAGCAAACTAAAGATACATATTTATTTCCTTAACCTCAAAATCTTGTGGAAGCCAGGCCTGGAGGAGAGGCTGCCTAGCAACTAATGACCGAATTGTCCTGGCAGGATGCTTTTGTCAAGGCTGAGGTAGCTTGACTGCTTGCGGCACTCTGGCTCTGTCCTGCCCTCACCCATAGGGCCAATTTCCAGCTCCAGAGGCTCCCAACATCTCTTTCTCCTCTGTTTTGTAAATGATGGGTGTTTAATTCAAGCTGGAAAATCTGTGCTTGGAGAATACTGTCCAGATATCCATAACCGTGGTCAGTTACCAGTACAGCTGGCAATTGTCACAAGTTGTTAGTGGTTTGAACCCTTTACAGCTAGTGTATTATTATGGCCTTGTTTTCCACATCTTGTGGTTATACTTTTCTGCTGGATGTTACAAACCAAGTTAAAGTGAGACCTGTATTAATCAATTTTAATTTCTTGCTATCTATCAAGGTCAGTTAAATCTGCTCAGGAATCACCTTGGAACCAAGGACAACACCTCTAGATCTTCTGTCAGTGTCGGTCATCTGGATGAGTCATGGTCATTGCTTGACCAAGTGGCTTTCTGTGAAATCTTGAGAGATTTTTTTCTCTCCTGGTGACTCTCCTTAGGCACACTATATATCGTAGAATCTCTTTCCTCTGTGGTCCCATAGTCTCCTTGATCAGAAAATCAGGGACTCAACTGAGTTATAGGTTGTCAAAGCAGAAGTTCTCTTATGTCCTGAGTTCTCATTGACCTTGGAGAGTGAGGCCCAAAATATTGACTGTCCTCTCAGCCCAATCTATCTCTCCAATTTTTGGTCTCCAAACCTCAGTTGTTAAACATTCAG